ACCTTAATGTGCATGGGTTCCTACATAATTCACCTAATGCTACTTGATTGGCACCCAACGTGATTGCAATCTGATACAAGTCTCTCTCCTCACTCCAACACCATTCAAATTATGCCTGTCATGTTTCCAATTTGAGATGCTTCTCTCTTCTCACACATGATGCCACCACTTTTACACCTAGTGTGAGTAAGATATATAGTGTGTCCTTGATTGAACCACGCCCAACACCATGAAAGCATGTCCAACATGATATCATTTCTACAGTTATGTAGAACTCAATTTCAAGCCCCATTGCACTTGAAATCTAGCAAAATTCTAACATGCATTTCACAATACAACATTTAGGCACCACAAACAACTAAAAAACAACTTCATTTACAACATGCAACTACTGAAACTCATATATCATCATAACCCCTTCAAATACAACCAAGAACTCAAAAACCTATTCACATTCTGTTCCTCCCTTTGAATCGTAACAGTAAAAAACAATGAAAGCAAACAACACATTATCAACATGCAATCCATGAAATCAATACAAGCTTCACTTACCTCTTAGAGAACCAAATCAAAAAGAGGAGAAAAGGAAGAAAATGAGCTTCATATGACTTCGAAGCAACAACATTAACTTCCCAAACTCTAAATCTTTTATTCAACAATTTTAATCAGCTACAAAAGGAAAAGAAAGGTTTCTCAACAAGAAAAATAGAAGATGATTCACTCAAAGTTAAGAAAACTTCTTACTAGATTCTCTCTTTAGATTTATGAAAATTTGAGTTATAAGGCTCAAAACCTAAGAAAACCCCTTTAATACCTTTCTTGACCTGACCCAACTTATCTCTAGTTCAGCTATATTGAAACCAAATTACTTTTAGGATCCCTTGACCCAAAATTCTAAAATGTGGTTGATATCTAAACAATAAAGAATATAATTAATAAAACAATCATAAAATCAATAGTTTGACATTAGTAATGATAAAATTTTCGTCAACAAAATTCTCATAATTGACACCTTATACCTTAATTGCATTGGTCGAATGGGTTAATAATATAGATTAGGCATTCACATAATGATGTGCAAAGATTTTAAATTAAATATATTAATAATGTAAATATTTTGTAAACGATTATCTAATTATAAACTATATATATATATAGAGACCACATACTCGAAGAGTAAGTTATCCCTATCTTACTGCAAAAATGTGTTAGCTGTTTTTACTTTTCATCATGCGGAATGAGGCCTTCATAAAACAAAATGTCACGATCGCAAAGCGGGGAAGCACCACTTATTCTTGTCCAGCAGTTTTCCATGCATGCACATGCAATCTTAAAAAATCATTTTGAGGCATCAACGATATTAAAGTTTGGTTATCTTTTCATATGGTTTAATTACCATACGTTCCACATATCAATCTAGGTTCCTTATTAAGGCCACGTTTTAATTTAGATTTTGCTAAATTTGATTTTAAAAAGTAGGCGTTGAAAAAACTGATTTTAGAAAAGTTGAAAACTAATGATAAAAAATTATCACTGTAATGAATGAAGAGTATAAGTTCGGACCACCTATTTCATCGTTAGAATTTCCACATAAACCTTCAGTTATATCATTCAACTTGAGATATTGTTATTAAAACATCAGAATTAACCATTCTTACTTAATTTGGATAAAGGGTATAGTAGTTATAATTTGACAGAAAAAGGAAGAATATGTTAGATGTGAAGTGGTCCAGAATCGCATGTTTCATGCCTTGGAATGTTTCGCATATAGCATGGAATCATTATTTTATTTTTGATCTGATAAGGGTTGAAAAGGTTGGGATATATATCATTGTCTGGGATACTTGTGATGATGAGATTGGACGGCCAGATGCGAAGAAACACCGATTGAGCACAAAAGTCCACGTACAAAAATGACAAAACATTATATATTTGTATATTTTATCTTCATTTTTTGACTTCACCATAATCCGTCAAGGCGGAGTTCACCAGATTCTAATTAACGACAGCCCCACCTTGCATTGGCCATTATCATAAAAAAGAAAGAAAAAAATAATTTCAATTTTAATCATCACTCCTTCTCAATCACGTCACCCCCCACTTAACATGCGAGATCTTCCACGAACCACTTCTCATGGCCTATTGTAAAAGAAGTAATGGCCGTCCCTATCCAAGTATAGTTAATTAATTGAGCAAAATGTACATTTCATGAACCATATTGTTATCTTGGCGCATGCTCCTCTATAAAAGCCAATTATATATATTATATACATATTCCCTTGAGCGATGCCAAATTCACCTTTCTTAGTAAGGAAAAGATGCATAGAAGGCCTTTTATTCCTGATCTCAACCAACCCGCTCTACCTGATCTCAATTTCCCACCTCCTCCTAGTCATTATGATTATGAGAATCAGGTCATCATACATAACTTCCTTCTTCTGTTATGTACATTCTTCCTCACTTTTCATTAATTCATATATTTCCTTTACTCTCTCTCTCTATATAGACTATAGAGACATGATCAGTTGTGTTACATACTTGATGTAATTTATTTCAGCTAATTCCAACGGTTGCTGATGATGCTGCTTCTTCTTCTGGGAAAGGCAAGATACGAGAAGAAGGTGATGAAAGTGAGAGTGGCTCCAACAACTGGCTCAAAATCATCAAATCCCTGTTGAGCAAGATTCTTAATTACTTTGTTTAGGAAGAATCAAGAATGTCCTCATGTGCATCATTGTAGCATATGTCAGCCTCTGATAAATTAGCCACTTTTTTATTTCTTCTTGTTGAGTTTCTTTTCTACGCATCAATTGGTGGTTTTGTGGTGGAATATTTGTGTGTCATATTTATTGTATCATATGTCTGTATAAATATATGTGTTTATATTTGTCTGTATTTATATGTGTTTATTAGTACTTGCTAATTTTGTTAATTAGAACCTACTCGGTTCTTTTAGTGGTTCAGTATCTTTTCATTTTTTTTAATTGAAAGAAAAAAATTCCTCTTACCAACTCTTTGATTAATTTAAGCTTTACAGTATAAATATATATGAACCACACGAGGATCAATAGTGCAACTCAAACTTACCCTCAGTCAAAATACTCTAGTTTGTATTAGAACACCAACCTCATAATAATAATAATAATAATAATAAAAAAAAAACTAGCTCCTTGCTTCGGTTGGTAATCACTCCCAACTCCTACCTAACTTTATAAAGTTTAATCCAATCAATTATCCCCAATAAATTTACACACTTTGTTTTGTATTCTGTTTCTAAAATTTTATGTAGTTATTATAATAATAAAAATAATGTACTTACTCATTTCACAAGTTTATGCACAAAATATAAATAATTAATGTGAGATATATATTAAATATGAATAATTATCTATAAAAAATATTTTTAGAGATCATTCTTCAATAAAAATGTTTGTAAGAAATTTTCAAATTCTTATCTAATCTAATTTTTTAACGCAAAAATTATCTCGTCCAAGAATATCTTTACAGGTTAATTTTCAATTAAAGTACTTTTTTAGAATTTTTTTTTAATTTTTTTTTATCTAATTCAATTTTTTTTATCAAAGAGGAGAATAATTCTTAAAAATACTCTCATAAAAAATAGTGGTCAGAGTTTAAACAAATAATAATTTTTTTATAGTAAAAGATAATTATATTAAGTGGATATTGGCGGTACCATAAACCCATATACAAAATTTCAAACAAACCTAACATATATACTACATCATCCCTCTTAACCCAGGTTAAGAGGTAATTTACATTTTAAAAAGTATAAATTACCGGTCAACCAAGGATTACAAAAAAATATGGAATAATAAAAGACTATTCCCACACTAACTTCCTACTATTGCCTAGTAATTAAGTGTACTACCCAGGACAGCATAACAGTTTTGGAGTTAGACAAAACATTGTTGATTTATAATTCCACATTTTGACCACCAGTAGAATCAGCCACCTCTCACTGCTAGGCTCGAGACATCATCATCTGCTAAGAGTTTTTCAATCAGTACCTTGCAGCCAAAGTTCCTCATAAAATTGAGATGAAATCCCAACCTTCTCCATACTTTTCCTCATACTACCAAATCATGGGACTATTGACCATGTTGTGTTTTAGGTCTCCCCTGACAAAAAAAACTGACAACAAAATTGTTCAATAATGGTAGAGAATAATCAACGGTCCATTAAAAAACCATCCTAACTGAGTTGGCGCCTGCCACGCTGTTAGTTTACTCGACACTAGTCCCATATATCTCAACAATAAAGGCCATCGTTAGATGTAAGGATTGTGCGTAATTTAGTCCTTAGGAGATCTGTCGAGATTTTGTGAAATATGATTTTTTTTTTTATATCTTTATATATCTAAAGTCACTTCGAATTATTATCATATATAATTGTATATGTTTAATAAATTTTAATTTATTTATAAAAAAATTTATGATCACTTTAATCATAATAATTTTAGAGTAATAGAAAATTTTAAGTAATAAAATTTAAAATTTAATATAAATAAATGATATTAAATGATAATTTAATATAATTGTTTGAGTACAAGAAAATAAAAATATTATTACAAATTAAACATTATGAATTATAAATTAATCTCGAATCTTAGGAAATAAATTATAAAAATATGAAATACTAAATTATATTTTTTAATTCAAGATCTAATTAATTAAAAATTCTTAAAAAAATTATAAACCAAATGATATATTAAATTAAATTCAATTAAATAATATATCTATTTGTATATTATAAATATTTATATTTCAAATATTATTGTTTATATATAAAATTCTAAACTCATCACGACCGTCCTTTTCTATGCGTGGAACATCTTGGAATTGGCAGCATTTTTTAACAATAAGTATAGAATTTTTTATGCCGTTTGCTTTGTATGTGATGTGGAAAGAGTGTTGTAGTCTGGTATAACATTATACTCTGCAGCCGTAATTAAAATAAGTTCGTTATTCATAATATTTTAATAAAATTTATATATAAAAAAGGTATACAATTATCCATTTGAACACAACAGTACTTAATGCTCGATCTTTTAACATAGGAAACAAAAACAAAGGCCAAAATAAAAACAAACAATTATTGAAACATATATTCTTCTTCAACACTTTGACATTATTGGACCTACAATTACTCAGCAGAAGCTAGAATCCTTGATTTAGTCGTTCTTGTTCTTTAATGATAATGATATCCATTCGCAGAACTTGTTCCAGTATCCTTTGATCCAGCTATAGCTACTCTCATCACTTTCGCTTTTTCCTATCATCTCACCTTTCATTGATGCAGCACCAGTATTAGTAGAACTGCCTTCATCATGAATCCACACAACCTGAAATAATTAAGTTTCATTTATATAGTTATAGTACTAGTAATAAGTATACTGTATACATATTAATTAATTAGTTGATGAAGTAATGATGACATATATAGAGAGAGAGAAGTGAGAAGAGAGGGTACAAATGTATTAAGTTGAACACATGCATGCAAGTGACCTGAAAATTATGAGCAACAGAAGTTGGTGTTGCTTGTTCCTCTTGATGACTAGAGTCAGGAGGAGGGGATTTGTTGAGATCAGGCAAAGCAGGTTGGTTGAGATCTGGCAGAGTTCTTGAACGCTTCCCATACATGCCTGCCTCACTATCTAAACAACTAATTAAGGAAGATCTAGAGGCTTTCAGTTTAAGCTGTGCATTCCTCAGTTCGTTAAGAGTTTATATAGACTGAAGAAAGAGAGAGAGAGAGCGATAGAGCAACGATTCAAGTTTGACCAGATGGAATAAAGTAAAAAATAAACATTAAATCTTATCACTCAATATTTTGTCCCAAACTTTTTAATCCTGAGGATCAATAACGGATAAGAAAGATTTTTAGTGGGGTATACACAAGAAAAATATAATTTTTTTTTTATCAAATACATATTTTTGTGATAAAAAAAATCTAAAATATCTATTTTTTTTTATAAATTATAATTATCTCGTGAATAAAGTGACAATTTTTCTTTATTTTCTTCTTTATTTTTGTGTGATTTATTTAATATAAAAGAAACAAAATAGTAAAAATTAACAGAATAAAACTAATACTAATTTATATTCATTTTTATTTCTTCTAATTAATATATATATATATTATTTTGGAAGTAAATTATCCCTAGTCAGTCAATACATATTGTACCTATCATACAACATCAAAAGAATTAAAAAATAAAAAAAAAATGAAAACTGGATATTTTACTAAATTAAATTATAATATCATTATATATAAGAGATCATTTTTTTTAATCTAAAAACACCATATTATATTAAAAAAAATAGAAGCAATTTTTTTATCGGTAAAGACAATTACTTAGTAGGGTAAATGTGAATAAAAGATTAATATTTTAAATATATTAAAAATAATTAAAATGTAATATAATATAATTTATATAGTAAAATTTTAGTGACGCAGTTGCCGTTTCTCTTACCGCCACTCCTCCTGGTGACGTTGCTTCCCCTCCCACAAACTTCTTTTTCTCAGCTTCCCATATAACTAATCAACTTTTCCCCTCACACATGCTAGATTTTTGAAACAATATACTTTTATGTTCAGTTATAAATCTTCTATTTGGCATTCTGTAACATGTCATAGCTTTTCTAGTGAAAAAAAAAGCTTTTAAAATCGGTTATTTTTAATTTTTAAAATCGGTTTCATAACCGATTTAAAAAAACCGATTTTAAAAGTTAGACTTTTAAAATCGGTTAAATAACCAATTTTAAAAGTTAAATTTTAAGATCGATTGTCTTATAACCGATCTTAAAAGTTCTGGCCAAGAAAAAAAATTAAATTAGAACGGGTCGTTCCAGATTGTGAAAAAATATTTGAAGAACGGATTCAGAACGGGCCGTTCTCCTTTCAGTACGGGCCGTTCCAGTTTCGAAATTTAGTCAAAATAAACCTACAACGAAAATAGAGACAAGAGAAGCGCATGAGAAAACGAAAAGAGACATAAGAAGAGGAAAACGAAAACGAAAACGACAACGAATTTTACCTCTTTAGAAAATGAGAGCGCGAGAGAGTAAAAAAATGAATGGAGGAAAAAATTAAAGAGAATGAGATTGGAGGGAAATATAAAAGGTTTCTAATGATACTTTTAAAATCGGTTATTTAAGAACCGATTTTGTATACTACATACAAAATCGGTTCTGAAATAACCGATTTTAAAAGTAGTACTTTTAAAATCGGTCATAAAATAACCGATTTTAAAAGTACTTTTAAGATCGGTTATTTTATAACCGATCATAAAAGTTATGGCTGATACAACTTTTAAGATCGGTTCTTTTGTAACCGATCTTAAAAGTTGTGTCAGACATACCTTTTAAGATTGGTCATAAAATAATCGATCTTAAAAGTACTTTTCAGATCGGTTAAATTTGAACCGATCTTAAAAGAGTTCATATTATTTACAAAATTGCCACCGCGTCACTTTTAAGATCGGTTACCTTGTAACCGATCTTAAAACTCCAATTTTAAATCCAATTTTTGCACTAGTGAATGACAATACTGGATGAGTTATTGATAATGGGAAGGATGTCAACTTTTGGATTGATTCATGGTGCCTAGGCACATCTATTGCTAATACTCTTGGCATTCCTGTTAGGTTACAATGTCGTCTATGTTCATCGATTTCTTGTTTTGTTTAGCACTCTGCCCGAATTATTCCATAGTTAATCTTTAACAAAATTCATGTTCTAAGTTATGCCTTGTTGCATCTTTGTACCCCTTGTGGACATGGGAAAGATCAGTCAATTTGGTGTCTTGCTAGTGATGAGGTCCTCTCTCTAAAGTCTGGTTTTCACTATGTTAGGCCACTAGAGCAACAAGTCTTTTGGACTCAATCATTTGGTCTAATGTCATCCCCTCCTCGTAATCTAGTATTTTATGGTGGTTGTTGCACAAGAAGCTGCCGACTGATGAGAATCTTAGATCTTAGAGGCATTATCATGATTTCTATGTGTAGTTATTATGAGCCTTTATATGAGAGCATGGATCATTTGTTTCTCCAATACAACTTTGCTAAAGCTTTATGGTCTTGGCTGCAACACGTGATACATGTTATCATTAATTTTTCATACACCATCTCACTTTTCAGTTTCCTACAAAGAAGTTGGAGTAGTCAAGTTATGGATGTTTTGGCCTCTATGGTAGTGCATGTAATTTGGATCATCTAATTAAGGAGAAATTGTTTGTACTTCAACAATAAAGCTCTTTTGTTCCAACACTCGATTTCAATGGTTGTCTCGACCGTTTCTTTGACAGGTAAATTATCAACCGGTTCGGGTTCTCATTCCATGGAGGAATTCAATATCTTGAAACGCCTCATGGTATTTATCCATCTATTGAAGCTTATTTAGATCAAACAGGTTAATTGGTACCCCTAACTTGCGACTTTATAAAGTGTAGCACAGATGGTGGTGCTCAAGGCTCCCTTGGTCATGCTACTAATGGTGGTCTGTTTAGAGATAGTAGAGGAGCTTTTTTGGGTGGATTTGTATCCTACATTGATATTAAGACCATTTTGCATGTTAAACTATTGTTGTTATGTGTGCTTTTAAACATGTGCACGATGTTGGGTGGCGTAAGCTTTGGTTAAAATGTGATTCTGAGCTTGTTTTAAACGCTTTTGAAAACACTCAATTGTTCCTTGAGACACCTGTGGCAGATGACGACATTGTTTCTCACTTTGTTCGCATATACATTTTTTTATTCATTCTCATATTTATAGGGAGAGAAATCAATGTCTAGACAAATTAGTTGATTTTAGTTTAAAGTATAAAATTCTTTATAAATGGTGGTCTGTTCTGTCTTTTTTTATTTGGGAGTTTTTTTTTTTGGATCATTGTGGTTTACCTTCTTTTCATTTTTATTGATTCCTACATGGGTTTTGGTATAATTCCCTAAACTTGAAATTTATCTCATTAGATTCATTTATATGAAATTTGTTAAGCACAACTAAAGTTCAAATAAAAAAGTACTACAGATATAATGAAAATTGCATAAAAACAAGTCCAAAAGGCAATTGAAGTTTCAAAGACTATAATTTCATTATATTTTCTAGTTGTTTATTAGACATATATTTTACACAACTTTTATTACGTTATAACTCATGAATTCAAACGTCAATTAAATTTTACAGTTTTGTATAGTTGAATATATTGTTACAGGTTTCACGTTTCGAATTAGTCAAAAATTGATTCAAAATTGAGTTACAAAATTGAAAATTATTATTTTTTTAAAAAGAACAAATTAATCCAAATATATATAAAAAAATAAAATAAAAGATCAAGGCTTAATTGTGTTTTTCATCCCTCAAGTATTGTAATTGTGCAATTTTGATCCTCAAGGTTTTAATTGAGTAATTTTAGTCCTTAAAAGATTGTGATTATATGATTTTAGTCCCTTAATTTTTAATTGAACAGTTTTAGTCCTTCAACTATTATAATTGTGCGATTTTAGTCTTTCTCATTAAAAATTTAGTAATTTTAGAATTTATATATATATATATATAATGTTTTAAAATTCTACAATTGTTTACTTATTTAAGTTAACATATATTATAATATTTATTAATATATTAAATGATATATATTTATTATTATTAAACAAATAAAATTTATATACTATTAGTATTTTAATATTACTGATAAATTAATATTAGTAATATTTATAGTATATTTATAGATAAACTAATAATTTGATAAATATAATTTATTATATATTAATATACTTTTACAAAAATATAAGTATATTAATTAGAAATATACATATATTTTCTTATATATTTATATTTTTGTAAAAATATATTAATATATACTAAGTCATATTTATCAAATTATTA